CTTGTTCCACATCATTCACAGAACCACAATAACATTATCTGATCCTAATTGCCGAAATTCCACGAATCTGATGCTTCCAATGCATCTCATGACCTATATACCTCTTGTCCTAACCTTTGCATGCCCGCCACAATGGAAGAGATGTGTAGACTTTCATAACCAACTGCCGAGTCAAAAAATCCTTGAGTCTATGCTCCTAACAAGAAGTATTACCTCAATCTAAACCAAATAATGATCTTTGTCCTTTAATATACTTCATATAACCCGATTGCACAGATCCTAGATCCAATAATCTCGTCTATCCCAGTACGAGCTACTCAGGTAATAGTTACCACAAACATGTCCAAAAGTCTCATATGATGCCACAATGTGCTAATAAGCTACAAACTCGAACGTGATACATAAGGAAAACGAACTCTGGAAGGGACTACTCAACTCACACTGCTAATATGGACTTTCCTCATAAAATGGAAAACAAAACACACAAAAATTAGAATACCGAAACTGTACTCAACATTATACTGTTGCGGCGTGCAACCCGATCCAAATAACATGCCCGTGGCTGCGTGCCACCCATTCCATACATAAAATTCACATAAGGAGATACACACCAAGCTAAATTGATCATTACTTACAAAATACCGAATATTAGTCACAAGCACACTAAGTGCATAATACCATCCCTGGGGAAACAGATAGCGCCGTAAGCTACAAAACTCAAGCACAACTGAGGTGCGATATATAACCTGAGTCACAGGAGCCATCCTGCTCACATAACACCATCGCTATGCAGAACCTCACACATAAGAAATTTATCAAATAGATTCACAACTCACACAACACCATATAGTACTACATGAAATAGCCAGCGACGAAATAACATCCCATGTTCGAATATTCCTCCATAAACTATGCTGAAATGAACGCATTCGGCCTGCTATAAATCCCATATTCATATTTGAGTCCACCCACAGACCTCAAGCCAATTCTGATCGTCTGCACTAGGCTAATAACCTTCATGGGTCCATAATAACCTCCTTTTTCTCATAACACAAGAACAACTATCGTAACCGGAGAAACCTCCACCGTTCATAGCCCAATAAACCGAGTGCCCTCCAGGCATAAATTCTCAAATTAATGATATTACCAAAATCTTCATACTTGGTTTAAATTTTTAATCAATCAAATGACTACATGTCACAGTTATACAATATTCTTGTGGAACACGCTACCACAACCTTCCGCACTAGGCAACAGGTCTACCCATCCATACCACTAGCCATACTAATGCTGTAAAGAATAACAAGGATCCGCTAATCAGAACACAAAACCTCTTACACAGGATGCCGATCTCAGGTGGTACTAAAGACAATACCAGCTTACTCTAACATCTGAATCCTTTCCTGCTCATTCAAGCTCGTGACATTCTAGCCAACATCGAACCGCAGCTTTGATCCTCAACTTCCTAATCCCATGCGGTTCACTGTACTTAATCATGCCAATATGCAAGAGTACAAGAATTTCATCTTAACTTCTGGACTACTGATAGGGTAAACACTTCATCATATAGAAACCTTTTACTTAACTCATTTCAAGAGAACCACATGCAACACGTGACTGAATTCTCATATTCGTAGAAAATACTAACCTCAAGTAGTGGTCTAAACCACCATAACTCTTTTGGGATCCATCTGTACATAACATGCCATAATACTCGAAAGCCTCCAAATAAAATCAATTACATCGGCCGTCAAGCCTCGCACACACCGCCACAATTCACATGTATAACTTAACACACTGAAGGAACTGATCACTATCACAATTATGCCAATTCAACTATTGCGAGTTACACTCATTCAGATACTTCCTCTATGAGTCCAAAGTTATTTTCTTCCTTTTTCTCCAATGCTACACCGCAGACCGAAGATAACAAAGAACATTCCAAGCCCCCTTTTCATAACCCTCTACAACAAGCTCGATACCAACCATACTATGGACTCGAAATGCTTAGGCACCACACTTTACCCTTTGAATCCACTAGGACTGTGGCTGAGAGTCGCCCACTCTGACTTGGTCCCAAATATAATCGACTCCAAGGATCTGCTAGCACCTGAAAACTCTCTCAAAGAAACACCTGGCTGAATCACTTTTATTGGAGATCACCTCTACATGAAGCATAGATCTTGAGTCTTCCCAAAGTCTGGACATAAATTGGTAAGGCCAATTATAGTACACATTCTTCAAACCCTTTGCTCAAATCACCACTGATGTTCTCATTACTTAATCATAATAACCAATCAATACACCGATAACCAGGAACCTCACAAATAGATAATCAAGCTATCCAATCGTAGGCAGTGGGCCTCTCCTACTTAGCTCGAAGCCACCACTGCATAACTCTAAAAGCCACCAAAGTTCATCCTTCCTCTTTGACGTGACCCCGCATTATCAACCCACTAAATTCCTCGAAACCTTCCAATAGTGCTGCACCGAGCATAATTACTACAAAATCAGTAACCCATCTTGAGCCCGTGCTCATTCACCAGCTAAACAAGTCTGTTCACTCCCCATTTGAAATCTACTAAAAGGTGCGACAGTACCTTCAAATCCAAAGTCATGTTGTATCCTTCTTCATATCAAGCAACACTTTTCTGTTATATCAAATCTCACACCGTATAATAGCCAATATTTCAAATTAAGTCTGTAAACCCAGTCACCATCCACCATAAATCCCAAATCACTCTAAACTTTCCTCAAGGCGTGTGGTCATCCTACCACAGAACCTACGTGTTATTCTGCCCCAAAGGCGAATTGAAGAAAACCATAACATCGACGAACTTAACGTATTCAACATGGACAATTACACCACATCACAGATAAAAATTCCACCACGCTCGAAAATACCAAGTCTTGTTACTCCATCAAACCAAACTTGAACATTTATAGCCTGATTGCCTCTCCTCCGCTGGGAAATAAAATTCTGAATCTCTGAATCTTGTATTGAGTAAACATGCTTCCAAGTCATTCACTGCTTCAACGCATAGACAAACACTCTACCATTACACCAATATTGTGCGATAACAATTAATGACAAATCTCAAAACCTTAGGTAATACTCAAATTGAGCTAAAACGACAGAACGACCTTCTGCAAGGTGACGACAATAGCCAGATCAATTACGCAGGGAGGAACATCCCGCACCACATCTGTAGTACCATTACATTTTCTCAATTCCTGATTTATAATAAGCGCTTCACACTGCATAAGATTGAGTAGGAAAAAAACAAAGGCATAAGCCTCAAAGGAATCAAACCACACAATGAGGAATCAAGAAGGGAAGTACTCCTAACAGCCATGTAGCCTCTCGAAATTAAGTACAGACGTCTTCGTGCCGATCTGCAATTCTCTACTAGACTTGCTCATGACTCGTGGGACCTAAGGGAACCTAGTGCTCTGATACCATGTTGTCATGATCCAAAATACACTAAGGGTCGTGATGACACCGGACATCGCTGTTAGGCCAGCCAACCATCAATACTTAATTAAATTCTCATTTTGAAATCATGATTTTTCTTGAATTTAAGAGTAAAAGATGGACTTTACAGAATAAATAATAATGTTTTTAACAACTTCAATACTGAATAACCCATAATTATCCCAGAACCCGGTGTCACAAGTGCATGAGCAGTTTCTAAGAAATAATGTAAAACAATGACTGTACGGAATACAAATTGGACAGAGAAAAAAATACAGTACAGTACTCTAAAGGAGACTCTGCTGGCAGCGAGTCGTCTCGAGAAGTGCAGCTCACCTAAGTCTCCGTATCAACAATGCCGCTACGCCCAACTAGGCCACTAGACATACATGTGCTTGTGCAATAAAAATGCATAGCAAGTGTAGTATGAGTACAAAAATAACGTGTACCCAGTAAATATCCCATATAACCTCGAAGAAGTAGTGACGAGAGGCCGACTTCGACACTTACTAGTGGTACAATAATAATATATTAATAATGTGAAAAATCATGGAATTATTAGAAGCCGCAGTAAACTCAAGTAAATCAAGAAAGCCAATAAACAATCCTTTTTATATTAGGAAGTCTCCAAATTCATATTCCATTGTTTATCAATTTATCTCGGACCAGAGAGACAATATCAATTTTGGTAAATCTCAAGCAAAAATTACAAGCATGCACAAATCATGCCTATCACGACCCTAAACCCAACCCGATAGTGATGGCGCCTCTCGTGAAGAGAAGGCCAGCCGATTCACTTCTAATTCACTTTAAGCAATTAAAATAATAACTACGAAGTCTTAAATCAGAAATAAAATCCCAAAATAAGCTTTTAACAGTATGTTGTTTTTCTTTTTCATCTATGTACAATGTCCTAGAGTTCTAGTAAAAATAAAAGAATTTTTTTTAAGTCATTTTTCATCAATTTCCCAAAGAAGAACCTTAAAAAAAAATCTTTTTGAATTTTTGGAATCAATTCTTAAAGAAAACTTTTAAAGAGGTACTAAAAAAATTCCTTTTTTTTTAAATTTTTAGTCTTAATATACTAAAGGGAATATAAAAGCAATTTTTATTTTGAGTTCTAGATATTAATTTCCTAAGGAAAACCACAAAAGATTTTTTTTTGAACTTCTAGAGTTAGTATTCTAAATAAAACATCTAACAGAAATATAGAAATGCAAAATCTTTTTTTCCTGGGATTTTTGATTTATTACACATCTTTTTTCAATACAAAATAGGAAATACAATAATAAAGAAAAACTCGACATTACTGTACAAAACTAGAAGGTAAAAGACGACACAAAAAGAAAAGCTCAAAACATAAATAATAAAAATAAAAAAAATAAAAAAAAGAATCTCCTTAAGCAACCCTCAATTTCAATCACCACACGATTCACCCATACATGATTGCATACCTTTGTCGAGTCCTATCCTTTTCATCTCAAAGACAATTACTTTACATTTCAAAGACATGGTTCATTGAATGCTAGACGATCGCATTTACTTCAATTGAACTCCATCCTAACGGCCTTTGTACTGCACCATCATTCATCAATTGCCTTATTTTCATTGCATCATCCCACCTCTCTGCAGTCGCATAAGTGCTCGATGACAGAACACAATTACCACCATTATCAGGATCTAATTGAAGAAGTTTGTTGGCAGCAATTTCAGCAAGAACCACATTACCATGAAGTTTACAAGCACTAAGCAACATTCTCCACAAAACCACATCGGCAGCCGTAGGCATAAGATTTATAAACTCAAATGCTCTATTTAAATTACCAGAGCGGCACAACAAATCAACAACACAACCATAATGCTTCATTTCTGGCACCAATCCATGATGTTTTTCCATACTATCGAAGTATTCCAAACCTTTATCCACCAAACCTGCATGAGCACAAGCAAGTAGTACGCCGATAAAAGTACCATGAGTTGGCTTACAACGTTCTAACATCTGGGAGAACAGCTGAAGAGTATTGTCATGAAAACCATTCACTGCAAGGCCCGAGATTATCGAAGTCCAAGAAATAGTGTCCTTTCTGTTCATGCTAAAGAATACTTCCAAGGTTGTGTTAACAGATCCACATTTGCAGTACATATCCACCAAAGTGTTCCCTACGTAAATATCCATTTTAATGCCATGCTGACGAACGTAATCATGCACTACCTTACCCATATCAAGTGTACCTAAATGTGCACAAGTAGAGAGTATGCTAGCGACTGTAATTTCATCAGGCTTAACCTTAATTGCCATCATCTCTTGGAAATGCAACGGCCCTGACCAGATGGTCCTGGGGGTTTATGCTCAAACTCCGGTAAGTAGATCCACACCCGTATGAGAAAATCAAGACCAAATAAAGTTAAATACCTAAAACACTATGTGAGACAATAACACTCCCTATTGGACATATGCAAGACATGATTGAAGCTATTTTTGCAAAATAACTTATGTGGCCAAAAGGTGGCTAGAAGTACAAAATTTGGCTAAGACACCGCAAAGCCAAGAGCCTAAGATTTACTAGGAAGATCGGACCCTATGTGGGTTGCCTACGTATCACGCCCCGAAAGACGAGAATCAGGTATGCGTAGTTCGGGCAGATTGGATACGGGCGAGAATTAAAAAAAACAACTAATTCAGAGAAAAACATGTTTTTTTGTCTTTTTTTGAAAAATGATGAAACATATAGACTCTTTTTGGATTTTGTTTTCCTCCTTTTTATGATTTTTTGATTTTCGGAAAATGATGAAAAAGCGCAAAATCTTGTTTTTGAATATTTCATATTTTTTTCTTTTTCTTAACAAAAATGTGAAAGAAAACTTAACTGGGCCCTACTTGCTTTATTTTAACACTTCACCCTCTCTTTTATTTTCGCCCTCAATTATCATTGGTCTACCAAATGACCCTTTTACCCTTGAAGAAATGCAACATGTAGCACATAGGATGCATCAAGATGGTCTGTTATTTTGGGTACACTTGTCCTAGACGGACCCACCCTGAGTAGTCCGTAGTTGTAACATGTTTTTACTAGGTTTGCTTTTGTTTTTGGCTGGGCTATA